TCTTCTACAACTGATTTTCTTTTTAAATTTTTAACGTTTATTTATTTTGGAAAGACACAGAACCTGAAACAGGCTCCAGTCTCTGAGCTGTTAGCACAGAGCCCATGCGGGGCTCGAACTCATGAACTGCGAGATCATGACCTGAGCCAAAGTCAAATGCTCAACCAACGGAGCCACCCAGACACCCCACCCTACAACTGATTTATAATGTGTTTCCTGATCTGACTCCAAAAGTAGTGGGTGAGTCAAGGTTTCTCAATGGAAAACCAGACTGACATGGTCAATGAACCTATTATTACCCAATGCACCGAGCTGTTATTAAACAGTATGCAAAGAGAAGGGAAGTACAGCTATTTATATCTTTGAAATGGAGACTGAGTTCACATCTCCAATATAAAAGATCTGAATTTGTAGTATGCAGTAGCAGTCTGCTAAACCTCACTGAATAAATAAAAATTTGGCTTATTTTCTCTTTCCCTTGAGGTGTTTAAGGCCATGGGAGGCAGAGTAATGATGCCCCCAAAATATCCACTTCCTAATCCTGGAAAGCTATGAATATATTAGTATGCACAGCAAAAGAGAACTATGGTTGCAGAGGGAATTAAGATTACTAATTAGCTGACCTTAAAATAGGGAGATTCCCATTCAGGATTATCAGGGTGGGCCCAATGTAATCACAGGGCCCTTTAAATGTGAAAGAGGCAGCAAAATTACAGAAGGATATGTCACAAATGATGGGTGCAGGGTCAGTGATGTGACAGCTTAACCTGCCTTTGCTAGCTTTGAAGATGGAAGAAAGGAGCCAACAAAATAAGGGTAGCTTTTTCTAGGAGCTAGAAAAGTCAAGAAAACAGACTGTCCCCTACAGTATTCCAGTAGCTCTGCCAACAGCTTAATTTTAGCCCAGGAAGATCCATGTCAAACTTTCAATTTACAGAATCATAAGACAATAAATAGATCTGTGTTACGTCACCAAGTTTGTGGTAATTTGTAATAGCAGCAATAAAAACACTAATACAGATGCCTTAAAAAAAAACAAAACTCCTTTAGAGTCCTTGAGCCAAAATGGACACTGCATATCAGGTTTAATGATCACTAATGAAATGAGAAAACAGTCCATTCTACAAAACTTAAAATTTAGAAAGAAAAATGCCACCACAGGCGGTTCTACTTCTAGAGTGGCTGAGTAGGTATTATCAAACCAAACCCCTAACAACTATAAACGCTGGATAAATTATTTTTTTAAAACTACAAAAAAATCAAAACTTTCTGAAGGCATTGGAAAACTACCAAATGCAGGCAGACACCAAAGGGAGTCTACACTTAGAAGAAGCCAATGAAGGTTTTTTGATTTATACTTTGTATTTTTTAGCCTGAAGGCAGGCCCACAAGCCCCCATCAGTCCTGTGCTGGGCAACTAAAACCTAAAGAGAAAACCCGAAGTCTTAATGGCTTGAAGAACCACAGAACAGTTTGGGACAACAGGCATGGGAACGTGCGAAATCCCAGAAAGGAAGAGGCAGAGAGGGGCCCCAAATTCTGTGGTTGACCCCCAAGCCGTGCATGCACATGGAGCCAACTCCAGGCAGCCCAGCTGCCTGGAACTGAACCAGTATTTGAGCTGCTGCCTACAAGGGAGTTGGATTATAGTTCAAGTTGAATTGAGTTAACAGCTTGCCCCAACACTCATGGAGAAATTAACAAAATCTAGAGTTTTTTATGATTTATTATTCACAATGTCCAGGACAGAATTCAGAATTAATTACTCAATATAAAACAAAACAGCCTATTTTTAAAAAGACAATAAATGGAGATTACCACACAATTTAAAAACTGCTACACCCATGTTTAAAAAAAAAAATCTCCAATGAACAAAAAGATCAAATAGAAACTATAAAAAAGAACCAAATGAAAATTCTGAAATTGAAAAAAAAGTTCTAAAGCCGAAAATGCCACTCACTGCTACTGAACTAAGTAGTGGATTGGAAATGAAGCAGTGATGAGCTGCAGAGCAGTATCAACAATTCAAAAAGCCATGGAAAATTACTGAAGAGAATAAGCCTATTCTGAGTATTTACTGCTCCATAATACACTTTTTAGGCAATTCTTGATAATCACTCAAAGTGTTACTATACTTTTGACAGAAAAGACACTTCAAGAGATTAAGAAATATGGTTCAAGGTCACACAACTATGGTCTTGTAGGCACTTCTAGACAGTACTAAGTTATGGGTACTTTTAAATCAATGATGAACTCAAGTCTGTGGCTGAAGAAATTAGCTAATACAGCAGAAATTGTAACAGAATAAGCAATTTCCTTGAAAATGTAAATGGTTTCCTTAATGGTTTCTCTTTTAGGAAAGGAACTTTATTAAAAGGCATCTCTCTACTCACACATTTCCTAGGTCATTCTGATATTCCACTATTTGGAAAAGGTTGTAAGGGCCTGGTTATATAAGTTATAGAACATCCCCACAATGGAATGTTATGCAGCATTAAAAATGACAGTATAGAAACATTTACTGGAAAGTGGATCAACAATGTTTTATGGGAAAAAATAGGCTATAAAACACTGTGAACAACACCATCAATTTTTACCAAAAAAATTCTAAGTTCTATTAATTATAGACACAAAAATGTTAACATTTTGGTTATTTCCAGGTTGATGAGACTATGGGTAATTTTTATTTTTTGAGCTTATTCTATTTGCTGTTCCAAAATTATGTTTTCTCTACAATGTATTACTTGTGTAATAAAATCAAACTTATAAATCAAATCATCATGCTCTACACCTTAAACTTATACAAAGATGTGTCAATTATTGCTCAATAAAACTGGAAAAAAAAGAAAAAGAAAATCTTAGATTTATTCATCAACTCAATATTTATTGGGCACATACTACATACCAGGTAATATTTGTACAAAGAAAAAACTGTTGCAGAAACATAAAATTTGATTGAAATGTCTTCCACTACCTGAAGATAGTCTTCAATTTATACCTCTAGACCTTTCCCTCAGAACCTGAAGAAAATCTATCTGTACTCTTATTTCTAGCCTTTCTACTAGTAGACAAGGTCTACTTCACCTCTCACCTGGGGTTCTGCAAGAGACTGTTATCTATTTAATCTCCCTACCTCTGGCTCCAACAAATGTATTCCCTTACTCCATCCAGTCACCTATCCAATACAGGGAAACCTGACCATGTTCCTCTGCTTCTCTAAAATCCTTCACTGACTCCACACTACTTCTAAGATAAAGCCAAATTCTATGGCATGGCATGCAAGGAGCTCCAACACCTGGGTCCTACCTTACCTCCAATAATGGGGTCCAGAAACACTGCTTGAGGGTTCTTAAAGTCACCAAGTTGGTTTTTTTTTTGCCAACTATCAATAGTTTTTTCTTATGCTGGCCTTCCCATCTAGAATATCTCATCACCAATTTTAGTATTGCCTCTAGAAAAAATCTTACCATCTTCAAACCATATTGATCTTATTCATATCTCTTAACACTGTACTCTTACACTGTACGATATTACACCTGGACCTTAAAGTTTCAACTCCACAAGAACAAGGACTAAGTCTGTTCATCTGTAATATAGGGATATAGTATCAACTATGAGATTTAGAATGTAAACATTTAACACAGTGCTTGGCACATGAAAACTAGTCATCAAATGTTACCTATCACTACTATCCATATTGTTACCTGCAGCCCAGCAGTGAAGCAGGACCTCAAATGTTTATTGAACGACTAAACTCTGCAAATTGGAATATTCCTCCCATTTTATGACCAAGAAAAGTAAGTGCAAGAAAATTACAGCCCAATATCACAAAGCTAGAAAAGGCGGTGAAGCCACCATCCAAAATCAGGTCCAATTCTAAAGCCCTGAACTATTCAATTCTACTATGCACTCTCTCTTCTGCTAAAAACTGACTCAACCTTTCTATTTTACTGCTGGGGGAAAAAGGGGCTTCCTTCCAGTAAATGATGTAAAAATCGCCATTCCTGGAATCACCATTTCTAAGTTAACTTGAATGAGTGTTTCGATTCAACTTCCTTGCCTAAAATAAGGGCATGTACTTGGATCTCAAAAGCCCATTCAAGCTCTAAAATCCTTCTGGGTGCAGTTTTTCTGATGGTGTTCTTTCAGAGTTAATGTGACATTATTACTTATCGAACTTTTCCCATATGCAAAATAAAAATTGCAGTAAATCAAACACCTTGCCCAAAGGAAACACTCTTTAAGCTTTCAACCTGCAAGCCAATGCCTACAATTTCAGAGTCCTTTCCAGGGCGCTACTACCGGCCGGCAACAAGGTCACCAGGCCTGATATGCAAGGTGCCTCCTTCGTGGGCGGGGGACCTCAGAGCCTCTCCGGCTGACAAAGGGCCAAGCCTACGTTCCGCGCTGGGGCGAAACGGCAACAGACCACCGGGCGGCCCCTCCTTCTTCCTCTCCTTGACCACACTAGGCGTAAACTTCCCAGTCCTGTGGGGGAGGCCACGCACCCGCAGCAGCTACGTCTGCGACCCTCCCTCGGAGCTCCTCGCTGGCGGTGGAGCTGCGGCGGCCTCCCTGAGTGAGGGCGAAGGCCGCAGTGTCCTTGCCGCCGCCTGCAGGCCGTCCAGAGCCCAGCGTTCTCGTGCGCCCACCACAAAAGGAGACACCGAAAAAGAGGGGAGGGTGGCGGCAGTGCCGGGGCTCATTCCGAACCTCCTTACCCACTGGGCGGTGAGGCCTGCCGCCTTGGCCCGGAGCGCCGCGGAGAAGAACATGGCGGACCAAACAGTTGGCCTTTCCCTGCGGCACCAGGCGAGAATCCCGAGCGAGCCTGGGACGCACGGCGTGCGCGCTCCCGAGCCGAGGCCTAGGGAGTCCAGGCGGCGGGGGCGCGCGGAGGTGCGCGGGGGCTGCTGGGGCCCAGTGGGCGGAGACTTCCTAGCCGAGACGCCTGGCGAACAGCAGCCAGGCCCGTAAAAGGCTGTGTCCTGCAGGCTGCTGGTGGGGTCCCAACCTTGAAAGGAAGCGTCAGTGAGCTGTGCCTTGGGCTTCTAGGGAATGAAACGCCGATCTGGATTTATGGGGTGAGCTTACCTCCTACAGAGCTTTATGGGAATTTAACCACTTCCTTTTTTATTGTAGTTACTTAAAAAAAATTCCGTTGCACTCCCCTGTAATCACATTTTACAAGTTATAGAATTGAAGATGCAAAAGACTGCCACCGAGTGAACTAGACACCAAATGCCTTATTTTCCATTCTTTCGATTTAGAGATGTGTGCCGACACATTTAAGGGTGAAATGATAGATCTGGAATTTGCTTCAGAATAATGGAGATTCAAAATAATGGACATAGAAATGAAACCGTATTGGCCATGAATAATGACCGTTGAAGCTGCAGTAGTTCTCATGACTACTCTCGGTACTTTTGTACATGTTAAAAATTTTCCATAATAAAACTTAAAAAAAAAAAGCCACTTCCTTTCTCATGTTTGTTTGGTCATCTTTGGAAATTCCAACAAGTATTTATTCAGTAACAGCCGTAATATGCACAGCGCTATTTCCTGCTGTGTAGAGTTTACCAGGGACTTTACTGCCTCTTGATTTTTCCCTTCACTGCCTTCTTGTGTGTCATGTCCTGTAACACCCCTTCCTTTTGCCCATTTTCCTTGCTAAACTTGTGAATGATTTCTGGAACTTGCACAGCAGCATAAGGATTTTAAATATTTATTCTTCATGTAAAAACTCTAGGGGCGCCTGCGTGGCTCAGTTGGTTAAGCTCCTGACTTTGGCTCAGGTCGTGATCTCTGGGTTCCTAGTTTGAGCCTCAGGAGAAACTGTGCTAACAGGTGAGAGCCTGGAGCCTGCTTTGGATTGTGTCTCCCTCTCTCTCTGCCCCTCCCCCTCAAGTTCTCTCTCTCTCTCTCTCTCTCTCTCAAAAATAAAAAACATTAAAAAAATTTTTAAATAAAAAAAATAAATAAAAGTCTAAAATATTTCATTATAGGGTTACCTGGGTGGCTCAGTTGGTTGAGCACCTGACTTCAGCTAAGGTGATGATCTCTTGGTTTGTGAGTCCTACGCCTGCATGGGGCTCTGTGCTGACAGCTCAGAGTCTGGAGCCTGCTTCAGATTCTGTGTATCCCTCTCTTCTCCCCTCCCCCCGCACACTCTGTCTCCCTCTCCCACAAAATTAATAAACATTAAAAAAAAAAAAAGACTTAAGAAATATTTAATTTAATTAAAATATTAAATTTAAAATGGTTAAAATATTCCATTATAACCGTTTATGAGTTGTATTTTACAAATTATGAAATGCAAATCACAAGAAGCCTGACAGCCAGTGAGCTAGAAGTGCTTTGGTTCGCATTTCTTTGCTTATCTTTTATATTAGTTTGCTTCTTCTAAATTGGCTTCAGTATTTGCCTTTTAAAGGGAAAAATATTCTGGGCCTCCATATTGATTTAAATTATTATATTATAGGGGCACCTTGCTGTGACTCAGGGGAGCATGTGACTCTTGATCATGAGTTTGGGCCCCATATTGGATGTAGGGATTACTAAAAAAATAAACCTTAAAAAAATAAAAAAATTTGTTTAAAAAATTAAATTATGGTATTATAAATTTATCTATATATATGCCTATATATATATACATATATACATAACACTGTTATACACATAATGCTGTTCTTGTAGGTCTTATACAACTAAAACCAAAATATATCACAAATTAAATACATAACAGACTTACAAATGGATGATACTAGTATGACGTGGAGTCTTTGAATCTGGTATACATGCTTTCTCTTGATTCCATTAAGGCCTTCTCTGACCCTAGGTTAAGTCCTCATGATACCTTCCTTATAAATGCCTGCCTCCACTTTCATTACACATTTACCACCAGATTATAACCTCCATAGGTGTAGAAACCTGCCCTTACCAACTTGTTTGATTCAACAGCTTTCACTGTACCTGATACATGGAAAGCATTCAATACTTGGAAACTGAATGAAAACTTTGCACATAGTACAAATATTTGGATGCTCTGAAGGGGTTGTATGTCTCTGGTTGGATTATGCTTATAAAGGTATATCTGTGAGAGTGCTTTTGGATATAAGTAACATGAAACCTAACTGAAGGAAATTAAGCAGTTATGAGTTCATTATGTCACATGAAAAGAATTCCAAAGGTAGAACAGTTCCAAGATTAGATAATTCAGTTACTCAAGGATGTCCTTAAAAACTTGAGAGCCCTCCATCTTTCTACTCAACCATACAGGAGCTGTGACTCCTGTTATGGTCACAAGATGGCTGTCGCACTTCCAAGTATCATGTGCAGATTACAACCGTCTCAGGAAGGAAAAAGAACTCTTTCCTTTCAGGGGTCTCAGATGTTACTCCAGGAGACTTCTTCAGCTCATTGGCATACCCCATCATGGAAGTTAAGAGAACAGGCTCTAGAATGAGACGGCTGGTTCAAATCCTCTCTCTACTGCTTTCTAGCTGTGTGACTTTAAGCAAGTTAGTCTCTCTAGGCTTCGGTTTAGTAATAGTACCCTCCTCATTGCTTTATGATGGGAATAAAATGAGTTAATAACTATAAAATTCTTTTTAAATTACTGAGCATTGGGACGCCTGAGTGGCTCAGTCGGTTAACCTTCTGACTTCGGCTCAAGTCATGATCTCATGGTTTGTGAGTTCGAGCCCCACGTCGGGCTCTGTCCTGACTGCCTGGAGCCTGTTTCTGATTCTATGTCTCCTGCTCTCCACCCTTCCCTCACTCATGATCTGTCTCAAAAATAAATAAACAGGGGCACCTGGGTGGCTTAGTCGGTTAAGCGTCCGGCTTTCGCTTAGGTCATGATCTCACGGTTCGTGAGAGCCCGCGTCAGGCTCTGTGCTGACTGCCAGCTCAGAGCCTGGAGCCTATTTCAGAGTCTGTATCTCCCTCTCTCTCTGCCCCTCCCCTGCTCACGCTGTCTCTCTCTCTCTCTCTCTCTCTCCTAGAAATAAAAAAATAAAAATATTTTTTAAAAAATAAATAAATAAATAAGTAAACGTTAAAAAATAAATAAATTACTGAGCATAGAGTAATTGGATGTCTTCCGTAATGAGTAGCATCTGTGGAGTTCACAGTCCACAGAGAAGGTATATGTCTTATCGGTATCTAACAGTCCAAGCAAGGACTTAGCAGGTATCCCTAATTTCTGTTACCTAGGCGCCAAGAGTGCAAAGAGTAATGTTTAAAACATTAGGGATCAGGGCTAAAGGAATGTCTAGCCTGTTAACTCTTTCTGAAGATGACACAGAAAATGCTTTCAAGAGTCATTCTGCTGCCAGTAAGTGTAATACCGCTTTGTTCAGCGGTCCAAAAGATCTGTTAATGTCCAGCATGATTTTGGCTTATCCTTAACCCAAATAATTCTCAGTGAAAATATTAGGATTAATCTTTCTCACACCTGGTAATGTGAGTTCATTTCTGGAGCCACCCCACTTATAACATAACCTAATGCACAGTCAGCTATTCTTCCCAGAGTCTTTAGGATAGAATTGTGGGGTCTCTTTGAAAAATTCCTACTCTCAAAGCCATCGTTTCTAGGCACAGACCAACATGGATGCCAGTGATGTTAAATGTTACTTATCTTACCCCATAGGCTTGATTGAAATTGGCTTGATTACATACTGTAATGAATATTATGGCTGCCTGGTTAGACATATTCCATGATTCTAAGTTAGTGCTACTACCATAAGCCCAGGGAAGTTGGCCCTAACTGTAGTGATCGACTCTTTGATTGAAGAATGTGTGTGGCTTTGGGGTGGGGAGTGGGGGGTGGAGGGGAATTGAGGGACTGAGAGCTAGGAGAACTGGGATAAAGTTGAGGGGAATGACCAAATGTGGAAACTTGTGCTCTGCCATATCTATGATTTCTTCTCCATTTAAACCACCATAAGCAGGCACTAGTGAGGGCATAGTATAATGCAAATCATGAGCTTTCAAATCAGAGGAACTTGAGATTGCTATTCTGACCTCATCTCTTACTAGAATCTGTGAAGCTTTGGTCCTCAATTTCTTCGAGTATAATTAGAGCATTAAATCATTCTCTTAGGTCGCATCATACTTACTAAAGCAGCCTTGGGCACATTATAGTATGCTCTGCCTCCCACATGCCTACTCACAGTATTGACTCACCTCGGGTTTTCTAGCAAATAACATGAAGTGTGGGTCCAGTTCTGTTTTGAAGGAAGAAGACAGACTGAGTCAAAACTCAAAGGAAGGAGAAAAAAAGAGATAAGGTTATTGCTGGATGAATAAGAAAGAGTTTTCAAGAGAAAGGAAATAAAGGTCCTTCAAGTAGGAAATTTGACGGTGCAAAGAAGCATGATATAGTCACAGTGGTACACTGAAGCGTTAGACCTGCTTCATGCTGTGTCACTCTGAGGTGAGGGGGGATATTAGCATAATGAATAACTTCTTTGTGATCTTTCCAAATTCTTCTCAAGTTAATCTTGGATATGGGACCAAAAGGTAAAATCAAAATCAAAACAGCCAGTAACTGTACAAACCTCAAGAAGAGACTGTCTAAAAAAATGATAAGCAGAATGTCACCCAAACCATTATCAGATTCAAGTTGCTTATTACTTCCCTAGTGTGGGAATGAATCTTAGTAGCCTCTACGACTCAAATGAAATTTCCTCTAAGAATTTTATCAATGCTTCCCTATCAAGTGATCAATGTAATTAAACAAGAAATATTATTCTTGCTTGACAGGTAAAATTTTAAGATTGCTAATTGCTAGTATGGGTAATGTGTGGAGCAACAATCTCTCATCCAGTGATGGTAGTATGACAATTAAGACCAGCCTCTCCAGATGCTAATTTGGCAATATAGACTGAATTTATTTATATGCAAACCATTTTATCCACCAATTTTACTTCTATGAATTTATCCTAAGGAAATAACCAGGAAAGTCTACAAAGTTATACAAACAGCTATGTTCATCACAGCATTATTCATAATACTGAAATCCTGGAAGCCATATAAATGATCATCATCAACAGAGAACTGATTAAACAAATTACAATACAACCATATAATAGGATGTTCCTCTGCAAATTTAAAACTAATGACAAAGATTAGTATTTATTTTAAAGGAAAAATGCCCATGATGTGTTAAGTTTAATTTTTAAAATTTTACAAAGCATCATATATAACATGACCACACTTTTTGTATGTGCATAGAAAAAAATATGGAAAGTTACATATCAAAATGGTAATACGAGGGGGCACCTGGGTGGCTCAGTCAGTTAAGCATCCAACTCTTGATCTTAGCTCAGGTCTGGATCTCGGGGTCATGAGTTCAGGCCCCGCGTTGGGCTCTGTACTAGGCATGTAGACTACTTAAAAGAATGTTAATAGAGGCATCTAGGTAGCTCAGTCCCTTGAGCATCCAATTTTGGCTCAGGTCAAGATCTCACAGTTAGTAGGTTGGAGCCCCCTGTCAGGCTTTCTGCTGTCAGGGCAGAGCCTGCTTGGAATCCTCTGTCCCCCTCTGTCTCTGCCCCTCCCCCACTCATTCTCTCTGTCTCCCGCTCTCTCTCTCTCTCTCTCTCTCTCTCTGTCTCTCCCAAAAGTAAATAAACAAAAAAATGTTAATAAGAGTTCTCTCTGGGTGATGGGATATAAGGTACTTTTAATTTTTTTATACCTTTTGTATCATCTGAATTTATTTCAATTAACGTTATTTTTATTGCAAGAAAATAAAACTGTTCAATTTTAGAAACAGGGTAATAAAGGAAATATAAAAGTGAAAACATTGATAACTCTCTTTCATATCACTTCTTTTTGTGGATGAAAACCTCTTCAGAGTAGAATTCCTTTTACTGCTATTAATTCAAGTTTTAATTTAGGGCATCAGTGAGTGTGGGCTGGCAAGAGGGAAATGAGCCAGTGCTTAGGCTCTTTGGGCAGTTTTAATTTTAGGCAGAAGAAACAGTTCTGGACTCTTTCCCACAAGGCTGCTTCTTAAAATTCCTATGCAAATCTGAATTCATTTCTTCCCTGACCAGTCACAAAAAGATTTATATAAAATTTCTTTAAATAGCCAATTCTCCTTGCTCATATAAAATATTCCTCCACTAAGAAATATTATATTGCAGCTAAGTAGTTCCTTTGCTTCATGCACTTGTATGGTATGGTATAAACAGCCTGAGCTGTGTAATGAAAGAGTAATCAGAGCAAGTTGAAATTGATCAGAAAAGTCTTTCATTCATTTGTGCGCTGTACAAATATATTTTCGCCCCAATTATCTTCAGCACTGAAGATACAAAAATGGAAAACATTGTCCATTATTGGGAAGACCTAACACACTGCAACAAATGATTATAGTACAGAGTATTTGTGCAAGATTAAATGGGAATTTGGAGGAAGGAGTGCCAAAGTCTTCCTGGGGGAGTTCATGTCAGGCTAAGACTGGAAGGCTACATAGGAATTGCCATAAATAGGGTTTCTTGGGGATAAGTTTTCACCTGAAGGAAATGAAAGATATGTATTGTTAGAAAGAAGCTGAAAGAGCAAATAACTAAACTTCTAAACTGATCCTGCTAATAAAAAAGCTTAGAGGAAACATTTCCCTGCTTCTTCTGGAGCCCACTTCCTACCAGGTAATTGCACTGCATAGTAACAAAGGCACTTGATGTTGGTGCTGGGGTCTTCATGGTCCTTTCTAGAAGCGAGATGCTTTGGGGAGGGGCTTGCACACTACTGTGTGTTAATGGTTGTGCGTTAATGTCAAGATGGCATGTTATAGGGGAGCCTGGGTGGCTCAGTCGGTTAAGTGTCTGACTTCAGCTCACATCCTGATCTCATGGCTTGTGGCTTCGAGCCCCACATCGGGCTCTGTGCTGACAGCTCAGAGTCTGGAGTCTGCATCTGATTCCGTGTCTCCGTGTCTCCGTGTCTCTCTCTCCCTCTCTCTTTCTCTCCCTGTCTCTACCCTTCTCCCGCTCGTGCTCTGTCTCTCTCTGTCTCTCAAAAATAAATAAACATTAATGGATGGCATGTCATAGAATTAGAAGGGGCTGTGGTATTAAAGTGCTCAAAGGACAGGAATTAGTGTATAGATTCTGAGATAGCCTGATTCAGTGGGTCCTCATATGAGCATTTTAGAGCAGGAAAGACTAGAAAAGATCTGGTCCAATCACCTCACTTTACAGATTTTTAAAAAGTTACTAAGATTGCCAAAGATCTTAACAACTGCCTTCTTTAAAAATAAATTATTAAATGTGATGTTTGGTGTAATAGTGCTGTAGTATATCTCTACAAAACTTAATGGGAAGATTCATTCCATCCATCTGAATAGCAGAGAAATAATGGTCTGTTTTCCTAGCTTTAGCTCATGTGTGTCTTCTGTTTATATAGTCAAAGGTCAAAAGCTGACTAAGAACAGATGAGCCCTTTCCTTTTACATCACTTTTCGACTTTTCAAAGGGCTTAAAATAAACTATCATTTTCCATTATTTACTTAAGGGATTTGTTTTGCAGAATTTGTAGCTCTTGGGAACCCCCCTGTCATTCTTACGAAGTACACAATCTGATTCTTACTCATCTATCAACATCCAAGGAATGTTAGTATTAATATGTATGGTTTAAATCACCCAAAACAGAATAAGAAGGCTGAATTGGCCAGCAATATTTGTGACTTTCCATAAATATCTTATGTGTATAGACTCAGGAAATTACTCTACTTTGAGATAGAGGAAATGATAGAGATAGAGATATAGACATGGGTGGAGGAGAGGGGGAGGAAGGGGTGGGGAGAGAGAGGGTGGAAGAGAGAGAGAGAGGAAGGAACAAGAGCCTGTACGTCAGTTCTGAGACCAAGGATTAATTTCTCTGAATAAAAGCACTTCCTTTTCTAACCAGCATTTCATCTGACACAGACTTAAAAACCACTGCAATCCTAGACTTCTAAGGGCTTACAAAAATTTTATAGCTGACCTTGTGTAGAGGGGTTTGCACTAATATTTACATGGATTCACTCTTCTGCTGAACTCCAACTTGAAATCTGTGAGATGCTATTCCCCAGAGTACATCCAGCACTCAAATCCTTGCTAGTCAACATCTAGACAAAACTAGATTCTAAATTCTGCCTTCACAATGCCTGTGCTACGAAGATTCAATCAGATGTATTAACAACTGCAGATTTTACTGGTGACAGTTTGTATTTATCCACATTATAAGTTTTCTCAGATTAGTATTTTGAAAGGTATTGTAAAAAAAAATTACCAGTTTTGACATTCATTTAATCAAATACTTGTTTAGTATTTCTGCAATAGTAAACTTCCCCATGGCCCCATGACTGCTTGCTAAATTGATGAAACATTTTGTTAAACGTGTAACCTGGGAGGAAAAATACTAAGAGGGACAAAACTTGCCATTCACTAAACCATTCCTCAATCCATTCAATGTTTGCCAAGTTTCTTTCATGGGTCAGGGAAAGGGCAGTAAGTGCTTAAGATGTCGAGATAAAGGACATAGTCCGACCCACTCCAAGGAGCTCACAGTCTCAATATGAGTCCACAATTGAGTTCTTAGGTGGATTTGTCCACTGAAGAGAGCATACAACTCCAAACTCCCCTATTGGATGATCTGCTCCCTCTGAAATCTAGTGTTCTTTTGCTATGATGCAGTTTTGCAACTTGTCCTTGTGTTTTAGTAACAATAAATGTTCAAAATAATAAACATCATTGAGCACCTACTATACCAGGTGGTAAGGTAGGCAGACTCATAAGATGGCCTCCAGTGTCCCTGCTTCCTTGTATTCATGGTCTTATGTATTCTCCTTCTGTTAAGTGTGGGCTGGGCTAAGTGACCTGCTTCTCACCAATAGAATATGGCAAAGGTTATGGGATGTCACTTCTATAATTATGTTAGAAAAGACTGTGACTTCTGTCACTATTGCTTTCTTGGTTTGCACATTTTGGTGAAACAAACTGCCATATCAGAGAGGCCTACCTGTCAAGCAGCTGAGGGTGGCCTCTAAGCAAGGCCCCTAGTTTATCGATCTGTGAAGAACTTAATCCTGCCAACAACCACATGCACTTGGAAGCAGATCCTTCCCCAGTTGGGCCTTCAGATGAGCCAGAGCCTTGTGAAAGACTCTGAGAAAAAAGACCAGGTAAACTGTGCCTAGATTCTTTTTTTTTTTTTTTTAATATTTTTATTTATTTCTAGGAGAGAGAGAGAGACAGCGTGAGCAGGGGAGGGTCAGAGAGAGAGGGAGACACAGACTCTGAAACAGGCTCCAGGCTCTGAGCTGGCAGTCAGCACAGAGCCCGACGCGGGGCTCGAACCCACGAACCGCGAGATCATGACCTAAGCGAAAGTCGGACGCTTAACCGACTGAGCCACCCAGGCGCCCCATACTGTGCCTAGATTCTTGACTCACAGAAACTGTAAGATAATAAATCTATCTTGTTTTAATTTTGGGGATAATTTGCTATGCAGCAGGAGATAACTAACATGGAAATTATCCTCATTCTTAAGGAGTTGTCAGTATAGCCGCAGTCAGACAAAACACTACAGCATAATTTTTAAAGTAGTGCTATCTTCAGTAACTTGGCAGAGGTTTAAATCAGGGACTGAATTCTGTGATTCCGGCATTTCAGTTCCAATCTCAAGCTAACTTGATTTCTGTTTTTCTAGATTTTCCAGTTGGAAAAGCTCTTGAACAACTCCATCCCTTGAGTTCTTACCCTATATTCCACCTGAAAAGAAGAGTCATGATACACACTGTAATTGACCAACTGGACTACACAATCCTTGAGGGTTGGAAGAGTATTTTATACTTCATGCTTTTTCACGTGCCCTTACATATAGTGGGAGGGCTCACCAAGTATGAATGATGAACTATATTCTCACAGTTAGGAAAAGAGCAAAAGGCACATGAGAGACTTCTGCATTTCCTGAAAGACCTGAGAATTCTGGCACATGTAGGGTGGGGTGGGGAGCTGCCAAAGCAATCTTATACAGGGCTCTGATGCACAATTCATGAGCCAAACATACGAAGCCTTGGAAGACTTCCACAGGCAATATTCACCATGACACTACATACTTCCTCCAGAACTTTCCAGGATCCATAAAACAAGAGCCCTGAAGGTTATTTTTATTGATAACAGCAGACGCTGCCTGTGCTCTGCCTATCACCTCAAGGTACTGGCCATCACAGTGTATGCCAGAGCATCTTCCTGCAACTGTCCATTTGCGGGCTTCAGCCAGAAGTGCAAGTGCAGCCCTCAGCTGCTGACATTTGAATGGGAGGAAAAATCCCCAGTCTTCCTTGCTCTCCTTGGATGGGATGACTCTGAGGTGTGTTCTGTGCTATCATCCATAGCTCCCCAGTGATACTGACCCCCAGGAATTCACAGGGTTCACCTCCTCAATGACAGTCTCTTGGGTCACTCCAAAATAAACTACCTGGACTCAAATCTTTGTCTCAAAGTTGGTTTCTGGGAAAACCTGGGAACAATTCAACTAAAATCAGATGCTTAAGTCTGAATCTTGTTGAATTAGTCCTGCTGAAGCCATCTTGCTCAAACATCTCAGGAAAGAACTAGACCTAATTTGGTGAAGTGTGATCCAATGGGAAGCCTGGGTGGGGAGGGCAGTACTTGGAAACTGACTTGCTCATGGGGGTGGAGTGAACACTGGGGGCTAAATTGAGAGATAACTTTTTTTTTTAATGATACAGACTTCCAATAAATTTTAGAATATAGACAAATAGTTGCTAGTAGTGGTACCTGGGTGGTTCAGTCGCCTAAGCGTCTGACTCTTGGTCTTGATCTCAGCTCAGGTCTTGATCTCAGGGTTGCAAGTGCAAGCCTGTGTTGGGCTCCATGCTGAGCATGAAGCCTACTTGAAAAAAAAAGGGGGTGCCTGGATGGCTCAGTCGGTTAAGTGTCTGACTTTGGCTCAGGTCATGATCTTGCGGTTCGTGGGTTTGAGCCCTGCATCAGGTTCTGTACTGGCAGCTCAGACCCTGGAGCCTGTTTCAGATTCTGTGTCTCCGTCTCTCTCTGCCCCTCTCCCACTCATGCTCTGTCTCTCTCTGTCTCAAAAATAAATAAACTGTAAAAAAAAATTTTTTAAGTCACTAATAGTTATCAATCAGCCCAGAGCTTAGTCTTTTGCCAAAGCTGGAAGAATGTTTAAGTCAACTCAGCAAGCCCCAGCTCTGCCCCAAGGAAAGTCCAGAAAGGTCCTAGAATTGGTTATGCTCTTGTTTTGGCCTCTTGTCATCCTAAGCCCTTCCGGCTGTTGAATGGCAAAAGCTAAACATGGTGTCAGTTTCATTGCTGTGCCTGGCTCCAGTTATAATCACCCAAACCAAGTCCCGAAGGTCTCCAGTAGCACTGGAGAGGTACGGATGTTTATTTTTAAATAAATTCCTTTTCTTCTGGTTTAATCAAAAGCTTTTATAAAGTTTGGTTTTACACCATATGCAAATATACTAATGTCTGAAGGATTTGGTAAAGATGTATTTGTTTTTCTCTTTCCTGTTTTTTAGTGTACACGCAGATTAACACTGATTCGAAGAGCTCCCCCTAAAGTTCAGGACAAAGGATATGGTTAAATACAGCAACTACGGTGAGGAAGGGTCTGAAACAGATTGGACAGGTGCCTCCGACGGAAAACTGACAAATAACTGTTACTTAAGTGAGTCACAATTGGAAGTTTCAGTCATTATATGTGGAAGCAAACACATTTTAGTGTATGAACCTCTACTGTGGAGTTTGCATTTGCCACTTGGTTTTCTAGTTTCTGCTTCTCCAAGAATAAACAGCCTAGTTGAATACAGTCTTTAACAGACAACCTCTCCTTTATGAATAAAGTCAGATCCCAAGTGTTCATCAAAAGGTGCTGACAGAGGCTGTTGGACATCTTCTGACAAAGGTCCCCATCCAATGGCCAGCAGATGTGAGAAAGTAGCAGAGATGGAAGAAAAACCTTTAGAAATTTTGCTAAGAAACTGTCTCCCTTTCTTCAAAAAGGAATGTGTGTTCCTTCCTCATACTGAGAGAAGCCATGTGCTTTCCATGTGTAAAGACAGTCTTTTGGAGGGGAGGGGGCATTTTTCAGACCAACTTGACCAACCCCATGTCTGATCTGAGTTTTTCTTCAAAATGCTTTCAATTTCTTCTTTCTATGTAATTTTCAGGCTGAGAGCTGTTTTGCCCCACCCCCCATGGTATCAGTGTGTATTTTGGAAGCTCTATGAGTATCTTGTGGTATCTATGAGTGAGATGGCTCTTCACAGTGGGTATTCTTTGAGTGGCATCATCTAGATTCATGCTGGCCATTTAGTAGTGCTCTATCCACATCATGATTATAAACAGAAACTGAGGCTGAGTACTGCTCAGTGCCCTTATGGATATAGCGTGGCTCCACACAGGGGCCCTGAAGGTTGTCTTCCAGCAGCCCAGACACTTCGATTCTGCTCATCTGGTCAGAGTCTGCGACAAACAGCAACAAAGAATCTAAGTTCATTGCTTTTATGCCTTGCATTTTGCTTTATAAATATTTCAGTAAAAGTAATAGGATATTCAGATGAAATTTAGATCCATTTTGTCCCCCTCCTCAGTTACCTTTCTTCATTTTCCTTCTCAGATCCTCCCCTGGTAGTATCTCCAGTGCATGACTCTAGTTATGATGTATGTATGTGTCCATCATCAATCTATACAGTGTTTTTTTATTTTAAAATGATTTGTAACATATCATTCAAATATTTCCACAACCTGGTTTATTCCCTCTCGTGGTATATTTTTGTGATCTACTTACAACATGAATACATGGAAACCTAGTTCACTTTTTAATCTGCTATTCTAATGTTCTTGGGAATACAAACTTTATTTTTCATTTCAAACCCCTCTGATGGGTTTCAGATGGTTTCCAACTTCTTATAGCTGCTTCCTATGCACATATTTGCAAGTTTCTCTACAGTAGTACTTTTCTAGGGCACAAGGAATATAAATTTTTAGCTTTACTAAATGTTGGAGGCTTTTCAATTTGTGGTTTTGTTTTTTTTAAGAGTCACCTTTTTATTTATTTTTTAAGTAAGCTCCATGCCCAACTTGGGGCTTGAACTCATGACCTTGTGAGTCGTACCTCAGGAGTCACATGTTCCCACTGACTGAGCTAGCCAGGCACCCTTTTACTAGATGTTGTTAATTTCATGTCAAAATAGTTGTATTTCTTTTCACTTCTACTAGTAGACTTTGTAAGTTTCTATTTTTCATCTTTCCAACATCTTATATTGTCATATCAAACATTTGTAGACTATCAGAGGAATATGAAGTGGGATCTAATTTAATTTGTATTTCTCTCCGTATAGTGAAGAGGACCATATTTTTGTGAATCTTGGTGATTTTGTTTTCCTTTACTGTTTCTTGTGCATATTTTTTGCCCATTTTCAAAACTTGGGTGTTTTGTTTTATTGCTTATTAATCTTAGTTCTTCGTGTATCTTGGATACTTTGTAACATATTATAAATATCTTCTCCTAATCTATGGCTTGTTTTTTAACCAGATTTTAAAATTAAGCTTGCATTTTGGCATCATTTAAAAATTACAAGGAAATTTGCAAATTTTTTTTTTATGATTCATGCATTTTCTACCTTGTTTTGAGAAATTCTGCTTAGGTGCACCTGGTTGGCTCAGTCAGTTAAGCTCCTGACTTCAGCTCAGGTCATAATCTCACGGTTTGTGAGTTTGTGAGTTCGAGACCCCCCCTCCAGCTGTGTGCTGACAGCTTAAGAGTCTGGAGCCCGCTTTGGATTCTGTGTCTCCCTGTCTTTCTCTGCCCCTCCGCCACTCGTACTCTGTCTCTCTCTAGGTCAAAACAATTATCTATATATTTCATTCTAATAGTATAAAAGTTGTGCTTCACATATTTTGATCTTTTTTTTTTTTTCTGAGAGAGAGAGAGAGACAGAGAGAGACAGCCTGAGCAGGGGAGGGTGAGAGAGAGAGGGAGATACAGAATCTGAAACAGGCTCCAGGCTCTGAGCTAGCTGTCAACACAGAGCCCGACGCGGGGCTAGAACCCATGAACGGTGAGATCATGACCTGAGCCAAAGTCGGATGCTTAACCAACTGAGCCACCCAGGCGCCCCCACATATTTCAATCTTTATTCTTTCTTTCTATAACTTATCTGTGCATGGGGTGTTAGGGAATAAAAATCTAATTTCACTTATTTATATCTAGAAGCCAATTTTTCTAATACTGTATTTTTTTACAATGGAAATAGCTTCAAGATTACATAACCAACTCATGATCACTATGAAAATTAAAAAAAATTATTTAACATATGAACAAATACATTAAAAGTTACCTAAGAGCCTGTTGCCCTCAGATAGTCATCACTGATATTTTCAACATCTTTAATCAACAGTCTGTCCTCTCCCCCACTTGTTTATGGTGCCACCTCAGTCATACAGGGAGAGGTCTTTTCTGGGATTCAGGCAGACTTAGAGAATTAACCCTAGATCCAGATTTAATTTATAGAATTTGAAGTATCAACATAAAGGATTTTCAGGTTAGAGTATGTCACATGATTGCCTGATTTCATTAAGCAGAGTAAATAAGTAAACATAATAAGTAGGAGCAGCACATGGGAAGTAAGAATTTTCCAGGAACAGCCAGCTCTTCTATGGTTTGAGGATGTACGAGCACACAGCCTACAAATTTATGAAGCAAGAGCATAATTTCTCCTTAGTATCATGCCCAGCATGCAAGGTTCATCTTGCTAATTATTTTTAAATTAAGACCGTTAGTATTTCCTCTAATAAATCACTCACCTTAAATTTTGTCATAGAAATAGACAAGGAAAAACAGAGCCAACTCCTAGAAAAGCACTGTCTAACTTGGATAGAATGTGAAAATCTGCATCAGTGCATCTTGGAGGTTCTATGGTGTAAAAGGTGAAATGAAATGGAGTCCCTTGTGTCAAAGGGTTTAAAATGGAGCCAGGAGGCCATAAAGGTGGTGGGCCTTGTGCACATCTTTATCCTCACTGGTGGAGCCATGATCTTTTGAGCAAGGCCAAACTGCAAATATTCCAAGGACTCAGCTGGAAATTCTACGACCTGCTGCAGTAACAGACTTTTGCATAGTGCCAGCCTTAGCAACCAATTCTATTTACCCGTGATTAGTTTTCTACCAACACCAATTAAAAGTCTTTGTAAACAACTTATACAAACATTCCCTTTCCTCTTTAAAAACCCTTGACTTTTGTTCCCTGGCAGGATGCTATTTGGCTTGCTGCCCAAGTCTGTGTTCCCCAAATTGCAATTCTGAGACCTCAAAGAAATGCTTTTGTTCTATTTTAGCTCTGCCTTTTTACCACCAAGAAATAGGTGATCGTATCCTTCCTCTGCATACACAAATGTCACCCTTCAGTATCTTAATATTTTTGTTCTTCATGAAATTT